TATATATATATATATATAGATTACAGTAATATAATATAATATATCCTGGGTCATAGGATATAAATGTGTGTCAAATATTCTACGGACATATTTCTATCAACCAAATATAAAAAATATTCTTATGAACATAGGTCTATATAGAAACGCTTAGTTTTTGTGGTAGAAGGAATTTTATTATTTAACAGTATCAAACAATTAATGGAACAACTAATGCGCATTTTTCAATATTAAACACTACACTGAAAAAAAGATTGGCTGCTGCAGCAAATTAGATGGTAAAATATGGCATAGTATTTTTAATTGGCTGCAGCAGCCAATTTTTGGTTGCTTTAGTCTATCTGCAATGTCAGTATAGGATTTCGATAAACTGCTGCAACCAATTAAAAATGCTATGCCATATTTTACCATCTAATTTGCTGCAGCAGCCAATGTTTTTTTTCAGTGTACTAAAAACGCTTAGTTTTAGAATGATTAAAGGTTTTCCCTATCTTTTTTGTGTATAATTGGCAATAATATAGATAAAATCATTTGGAGAAGATTATTTTGAATAATTTTTGTAAAAAATGTTTAAATGTTGTTTATTGAAAAATGTTGAAATATTTAAATGTTTCGAATTTCAAATGTTTAATGTAAAAAATGTTTAAATGTTCGTTATTTGTTTCATTCATTGTTTCATTGTTTGATATTGTTAAATAGTGAAACTCCTATCTAAAGAATAAAGCGTTTTTATACCCACGTTCGTATGAACTTTTTTAAATATTTGATCGATAGGAATACGTCTCTAGAATATTTAACATTTATTTATTTACACTAGTACTGGTTCAATCTTTTCAAAATTCTGGAAATATAAATATCACGCTAATTTAAATTTTATTTATTAAAGTAACACACGTATAGATATATATATGATGTAAATTAGTGTTGGGATTTACTTGCACATTTCGGCCAATTTTCAGCTTGATTCCTGCCCCTTACTTCATCAACCGGCGCGCAGCCTAAATGCCGAAGGGGCAGAAACCAAGCTTGGCAAAAATGTGCAAGTAAATCTCAGCACTGATTTACACCATGTATATCTATACATGTATTATTTTAATAAATAAAATTTAAATTAGCGTGATATTTATATTTCCAGAATTTTGAAAAGATTAAAATTTTCTGTTTTTATGTGGCATTTTAGGCACATTTTATTTATTATTATTCAGAAAGAAACTTTACATACAACTTATCGTTGTAGTTTTTATAAAAAATATTAAGATTTGCATATTAGTCGTATTTGCAGATTTTGTAAAGTATTCTGTGTTGTAAGAGTTCGAGTCTGGAATGATTTAAATTTAACGATTTAATTTGTGCTACTGTGACATGGAATTCGAAATTATAGGTTAAAATCATACTTTTTACTTACGTATTTTTCGATGAAGTTATTTACATAAGAAAATATCGTCAGGGGAACTGCAAATTGATTGAGGTTTATACTATTTTAATGAATGCACTTGGATTCAGAAAGCGGCTATATGTGCGCGAAATGTCAGATGTTTATTATATTCCAGTATATATCATCATATGATATTTCCAATTTCCACGAAAGATCTACTGCCTTTGTACGTGACAAATATTATATGATGCATTCAAACCTGAAAAATGAGATGCTTATAACGGATTAGGGTAACTCCGGCAAATACGCCGCGCCGGGATTTACGCCACAGAAGTCAGAAAAAATAGAAGGAGTGGGGGTAATTTTCCCGCACTACTCTATTACATGCCTTTATGTTATATTAGTATTGTATTTGTGTGTGTGTGTGTGTTATGATTTTAACTTCTTACTGTTAATATTAATGAAATTATTGTGAGTTGAATCGATTTGTCACTGTAATAAGTAGCACCATCATAAATTATAATCTACATAAAATGATTATTGTAGGGTGTGTAAAAGACTTAGTGGTTATTTCGTGATACGTACGTGTAGAGGAATACGTAAAGCATGTTGTATAGCAAAATACAAGTTCTTTGCTTTCGTATTCTTTGTTTAGTTTGTTGTCTTGTATATCCTACCTGTTTGGGATATACGGCATTTTTAGCTAGCGGGATTTATGCCCAAAGCATACAAAGTGCACAGATTGAATTCAGTGCATTAAATGCAATCAACGCATTACATGAAATATGTACCTCATGTCGTAACATTTGTAATATATGTAGAAAGATTATAATTATTATTTATTACTTCATATACATATTTATCATTCTTATTCCTTAATAAAACTTTATAAACGCATTTTATAAGTTATTGTGTCATTTTACGTCTTATGTATAAGTATTATTTGTAAATTTTTCATGAACCGTACATACCCTCTCTCCCCCTATGATTAGCCATATATTCCACTCCTATGGGATATACGGCAAAAATGCAAGAGTTTCAAAAAGTTCATTTTTTAATACGAAAAATAAATATATATATTTCGGATTTCTAATATTTTTTTCATAGTAGTAGACAGTACAAAGTTTTTACTGATATAGTTCGTTTACTTTAAACATAGTAAATAATACTTATATAATAGATCAAGTTTTTGATAGGTGCGGCGTATATACCGGAGTTACCTATATTCTTTGATGACACAATGTTGAATTTGCATTCATAAAGTCGTGTAAACGTTGTTAAAAATTTCATCTAATATATATCGTCTGTTGTTCAGTTATGTAATATGTTTTCCTATTTTAAACAATCTTATCCCGAAATAACTTTGAGTATGGTAATCATTTCTCATGAAACATATCGTATTATTTATTACGCATTATAATACATCTACGGAAAGCTGTTCTGCAATATTTCTATTTTCTGTTTTCCTCTTTCTTTCAGGATCGCGACGTTTAACATATTGCACTATCGATTTTCGCTTCAATATTATTTATATAGTAATCTCGTCTCTTATTTCAATTATTTCTCCATAAAATATAACACATTCTTCTTTAAATCGTCATTAGTTACATCGTGCACATTTCGTCAATAAACGCATCACATTGCTCACATTTTCATATTGTACTCGATGGACAATACACTCGTCACACACGTGTATAAGCGCGTGTCACAAATCCTATCAATGATTTATGACATTTCACCGCAAATACCACAATGCGACAATTGCACTCGCATACATCTGCGAGAAACAGATTTAATTTGACGTTTATGAGCGTTTTGATTCGATTTAGTATTTTATTGACGCGATACAAGTAAAAAATGAATATACTGACGATCGCGAATAATCGAAAATTTAGTCTATAATTTCATGTCCAGTCACTTCCGTATCATGAGCAGTGATTAACATAACATGGATATTATAAATGTTTCACGAGAAAGCCGTTTATCACGTACTTATGTTAAATTTTACTTTTCCCCTTAAATTGCAGCAGACTTTATACATGTTTGAGAATTTCTTTTAGAGTTGTGTGTGAATTTATCTTTATTAACCTTACGTCTGGTCTATTCGCTGTTTCTAACTGAACTACTACTTACTACCTTTTCAACAGGTTTTAAAACAAAAGCTTAGTGTCGCTACAACACTAGCGGCACCTAAGTCCGCCAATCGCGGTAAATTTGAATAAACATAAGTCGCACAAACTACTAAATAAAATAAAAAGTTTAGAAATAAAATATATCTTAGCAACGAGTAACGCTCGATATTACGGTACGGCAATGCAATCACACGGTTCATCCTCATCGTTAGAATTGTTACTTTATTACGGCAGATCTCATTAATTTTTATTCGCATTTTTTATATTGTATTCCCTCGAGAAGTTTGTAAGCTCAATTGGAATTTATAACGGTTGTGCTTACGTCTCGTATTTTACGCAAATCTCCATGAAATATTTCTGTATATTTCAAATAAACCGATCGTTTATTTAAACATAATGCTTGTACGACATCGATATTTGTCGTATAAATAACGACATGATGACATTTTTATCAAGACTTTTACAAAAAATATAGAAGCAATATAAACAATAAAAAATACGTTTACATTGAATATCGTATTTAAATGTGGATTCTCTTCGGATTTCATGAAATGCAGTATTATTGCATTCTGTCACGCTGCATGAAAGTTACAATCTGTGTATCACCGTAATTAATTGAATTACTTAACTTTAAAATGATTGCCGTATTTACATTTTATGAAAGTGAACTGTTTAATCAATAGAAGTAGTTGGCAAATTTTAATTGCGAGCAATCATGTATAAATTGTTAACAATGTATGATGGTAAATAAACATCCTCAATGCATATTTACAAAAACTTACTTCAACATACTCATTGTCAGTGTGCTCGAGAGACAATCAGAATTGCTGTATTTACGATTATTTGATCAAAGAGTAGATCTCTCTCATTATTGATCCAACGGCGCTTACCTGTGTCGCCCAGGAAATCGGTGATGAGCAGGGTCTCGTC